AAAAAAAGCGAATTCAAAAGTATTTGAATTATTTTCGTTTCATTTATCTTCTTGACACCACTTTTCAGAGTCCCCTTCTCTTTTTGGAATATATCATGCAGTATTCGAAGAGTGTGGCGTGCTAGTGCTTTCAGAGAAACAAAAAATTTTTTGCTTTTTCACTGTGTCTTAGGCTAACAGAAACTTCATGAAAAAATAAAAACATTTTCAAAGTATTCGATTAAAATGCGGTCATGTCTTTCGACTAAGATCTCCGCTTGTTACAGTTACCATTACCTGTTTTGTACCATTCTTATGAAACTTACAACGCAGAATGAACCTAACCATATCGATTGAGCTTTTTTAAAGTACACCTTCAAGTGCAGTACTTTTTCTGGACTATCTCGTTCTTTTCCTATTTTCGCAGTTCTGCTAACTTCTGCATATGGTTTCCGAATTGCAATCGCAACTTGTAATTTTCACAAATAAAACTGTCAGTCGTACATCAGTCATAGTCATCTAGGCCTCTGAATGACATACGACTTCACGCGGTTGACGCAAGAGTTTTCGGACGATGCTGCTGAGGAGGGCTCACGACCCAAAGCGCCTACACTAAGCAGAGCATCTAGCTTTGACTCCATTGACGAGGTAACTTTTTGAAATTTTTAAAAAGTTATTCAGAGAGCAAAAGAAAGCTAATTACATTTTTATTTGCTTTCTTCTTACTTGCAATAATCGCTGTTATCAGCTGCTTCCGCCACTTCAAAGTTGATAGTCGTTGGAAGCAAGAGTGGAAGATATTCTGCGCCAAAAAAGTAAACACTGTGAATTTCTCACATCCTATGAACACAGGGACTGAAAAAAATGATTTGCGATAGAAGAAATGGGATGCAATTCTACCTTGGCTCAAGCCAAGCATTTTTTGCTTCTATCACGTGTTGCCAATCACTTGTCCTTTCCTCGTCAATGTTTTCAATCACGTGCGCATTGTTGTAAACATTTTTTTGCATATTTAATCTGCTCAAGCTGT